CACCAAAAAAACAAAAAAAAAAACATAAAAAAACAAGGAGTTTATGAAGTGATCTTGTTGTATTTTTATAAAACAATAACTGAGATGATAAGATACCCGCCTTAAAATGGCATAAGGATCTTTAAGGGTCCCTTAAGGGATAAGGGTATATTAAGGGCAATTTTTTTTTTTTTATTTCTTTTTAAATCAATTTATTTTTATAACAGCTTATCTTTTTTTTTTTGATAAAGTTTAGAAAATATTATTCAATTTTGAACATTAAAATTTATAAAATATGAAAATAAGTAACTGTTCATCCTTATCCTTTCAGTTAAATTGGTATCGGTATCTATACTCTGTCTAATATCATTGTTACTGATGTAAAGATCGTAAATAAATGTGTTTATTTTAAAAATGGTAATGAGTACATTCAGGGCCGGCGCGAGTAGGTGTCACGTGGGGGATGGGGGTGCCATTACAACTTTTGCGACTAAAAAAAAAAAGGTCCTCGATATCGAAAGTTTGCCGACTGCCATGACGACATTTGCCGACTAATTGTCTAAATAACCGACTAACCTATATTGAAAGGGTCGGCATTTGCTGACTTACTAGTCAAATAGGGTCAAATTTGCCGACTAAGGGTGAAATTTGCCGACTAAAAATCATTGATGGAGGGGGGGGTGACCCTTATTACGCCGTAATAAGGGTCACACCCCCTTATTACGGCGGCCTTGGGTACATTATCATATCACTTGCAAATGATATAATCAAGGGTTAACTCTCAATGACTGAGTAATGAGTCAATTATTTTAATGTAATGATATTTTTTTTTTATCATAGTAGATTTTTTGTTGTAAATATTTAAATAAAATAATTTAAAGAACCAGTATTGTTTTAATATTATGCACTAAAATTAAATATATATATATATTTTTTTATTTGTCATTTAAAAAAAGAATTCAATGCCTTGTTATATAAATAAAATCTACATGACTGGGGCTAAAAGAAAACAGTATTTGCCTTATCACTACACCCCGACGTGCTTTCATCAGCAAGCGTGTATAACCATTAAAATATAAACATAAAACATAAAATTACTTTGTACCATTTAAAAATTGTATACAAATATATACAAATATGTTAAGATCAGTTACTCATCTATAATCAAAAGAAAATCGTAAAAAAAAAAAAAAAAGCAATTACACTTAATAGAGTAATTAAAGAAAAGTTAAATTGGTTAGACTTGTTAATAAGATAGTTGTTAAAAAAGAAGATAAAGGAATCTTAAAAAGAATTTAATTCATTAACATCGTTAAGAAGTTTTTGTTTGAATTTTTGTTTAGATAGAGAAAGTTAAGAACAATTTTTCAGCTGCTTATTTAATAAAGTGTTCCATAATATATGTTCCATAATTTATTGTATCATCAAAAATAGTTGGTAATAATTTTGAACTGTTACTGATTTTCCATAATTTAGTAATAATTAAAATATCTGATGGAGTACATTAGTCAAAAATATGTTTTAATTGATTGTTTATCTGATAAAACAATATCAATTATTCATGCTGAATGTTGTTGGATGGAATCCTGAAAATTTCAAAAAAATCAAAATTTGTAAAAGTGTTGAATTAATAGTGATAAACAACAACAATATAATAAAGGTAAATTTAAATCACCATAATTAGATAGTATTTATTAATAATTACAATACAAAGCTTTATTTTGTGAATGTATATGATTAGGTTTTTGTTTAAAGCCCTGAAAGAAACTTTAAAGTTTTTTTTTTTTATTTTAACAATTTAGATAGTTTGTTAAGTAATTTTTTATTCATAAAATATTTTGATATTTTAGGCTCAGCATACCCAGGATATTGTTGTTTATAAACAGATAATTCTGTTATAACTTTTCAAATGAAAAGTTTTTAATACAGCTTTTTATTGTTTTAGTGTTGCTCTTCAATAACTGTTTTCTTTTCTTTTTCTAAACCTTTGTATATAAATATATATATATATATATATATATATATATATATATATATATATATATATATATATATATATATATATATATATATATATATATATATATATATATACATATATATATATATATACATATATATATATATATATATATATATATATATATATATATATATATATATATATATATATATATATATATATATATATATATAATATATATATATATATATATATATATATATATATATATATATATATATATATATATATATATATATATATATATATATATATATATATATTAAAGATTACTAGTTTGCAATTTCTTGCATCTATCTAGGCAACTGCAATTTTTAAAAAATTTTAATATCTTTCTTAATTTCCTTCACATAATACGTTTGATTATGTTAATATCTTTTTAATTTCAAATAGGTTTTAACCGATTTACAGACAGATAATCAGTCAAATGTATGCCGCAAAATATTTATTTTTCATGCAAAAGTATTATCTTGATATATATATGTATATATATATATATATATATTTATATATATATATATATATATATATATATATATATATATATATATATATATATATATATATATATATATATATATATATTTATATATATATATATATATATATATATATATATATATATATATATATATATATATATATTATTGTAAAATGTTGTATTTTTAGTTGAGTCAGGTATTCCGCTATTCAAGTTTATTACAGATGCATGATAGTATGGTTGGTATTTGCAATCGTTTAAATAGTGAACCATCTAGTCCATAAGGTTTGAATATTTTATATTGCTTAGGCTCATTATTTATTTTTTACAGAATTTTTTCATGGAAAACAGAATTATTATTTGTTTTAAGTAACATTAGTAACAGGTCATTTCTTTTATAAGAGGCACTTTCTTTCATAACATGTTTCTTATGAATGCGCACATTTTTTTGTGAACTAAACTTTATTCAATTTAAGTTGACAAGCCTTGAACAAAGGCAGGGAAAGTCGGAAGAACTTTTTTGTAATGATCCTGTTGATTAGAATATCAGCCAAATCTAGTTGCCAAACTTCAATTTTGTACTGCAATAGTCTGAAGTTGAAAAGCGCCAAAGAATATGGTATGTTTTTATTAATTTCTGAATATGCAAGTAGTCATAAACTGTTGATTTTTGAATGTAATAATAAATATATAAAGTATTTCTAAAATTTTTTAGCTGTCATGAATAATGTTTGAAGGAGGATATGTATGGTCACGGGCAGTCCGCGACAATATTTCAAGAGTGCTTAATAAGTTACTGACACATGATACGCAAAAAAAGATTAACAGGCCGCATGTCAAAAGTTTTTTGATCACCTGGAAAATCTGCTTAAAAGTGAGTGAAATTTAGAGCTACTTTAAATAATTTGGATGTAAAAAACACATTTATATTAATTTTAATATAGCAGTCTTGTGAGTAACCTATTTGATTTACAATCACTGTTTGACAAATTATAATGAAGTAACGAAAGTTGTTAATCTATTGTTATTAACAATTTACTTATATTATTACGCATATTTATATTGTCGATTACGCATATTATATTGTTATATGTAGCAGTCTCTTAAATAAATAGTAGTTATGATAATAATTACTATTTATTTGATTATAATAATTATAATAGTGATTATTTTACTATGATATATTTATAGTTTGTACTATTCACTTTTTTCCTGGCATCACGAAAAAAAAAGTTGAGTTAAAAGTTGCACGATTTTTTAATAACGCCAGAGATTGCCCTGGTGGTCGGCTGCGGTGATTTAAGAAAACAGCAGTTTTGATTGACGCGAAAATTATAGACAGTGACGAGGGAATTAAATAGGACAACGAAGATAACGCTCCTTGATAAAAGAAGCAAAAGATATCTTTAAACAAATAATATCTTGTATTTTGAATAGCATTACTATGTAAATAGTATGTAATATATAAAAGTTTATGCAATATGAATCGTAATAACAAATATATTTAAAAAATATGTTATATTTTATTCAAAAATAAAAGAATTTTAAAAAATAATCACGCTTTACTACTCATTTTTTGAGTGGTAAAGCGTGGTTTTTTTTTTGGTCGCTTAAGGGCTAGCCCTTAAGGAACCCTTAAAATTTTGCGCGGACATTTTTGTAAGGGTCCCTTAAGGGCATGCGCTTAAGGGACCCTTAAGTGTTTTTAAAGCCCGTATTGTGTTATAAAGATTTTCATAAAACTTTTTTTTAAGTCTAGGATGTTATTCAATGAAATTTGAAAAGCAATTTGCAAAAACGACCTTGAGACAAACACTCTACAACAGAGTGATACCTCATTGGAATGCATTGCAGATACCACGTGAAAAAGTGGTATCTGCAATGACAGTAACGTCAGTAAGTTCTTTTCAATCTAGACTAGATAAACATTTGTTAAAGGCTGTTAAAATATAAATTATAAACTTTATGCTCCATTTTTTAATTTTAGGCTTCTTTATTTATAAAAGTATTCTCTTTAGTTCTTGTTGTTTATACATTTTCTTTAGTTTTATGTTTCTTATAAACGTTGCAAATTATAGTAACTGTTTTTCATTTTTATATCTGTAAAAAAAGATCGACTTAAAAAGAAATTCTTAATTATAAGATGCTATGCAAAAATCAATCACTCTATTTATATTACTTTTTTGTTCGAAAAGTAATAAATAATTAAATATATATTATATTTACCACGCTACACTCTTATAAAAAAGTTTGGTTATCAAATTTGTAAATTACAGTGGAAGTTTAAAGTTATTAAATAATTTGTAACACTTTAAATAAATTAAAATAAATTAAAACCAAATATAACTGACTTCTATGATACTACAGGGTAATGTCTCCCTAGCCCCCAAAATGTCAATGGCATGTAAAATAACTGTAAAACCTTAATAGACAAATTTTTTTTAAACAATTTACTAAATTTTATTATGTTAATTTAATGTTTCTATATTTATAGAGCTAAAAAAATAAAATAGTTACCAATAGTTTTCACAGAACTTTTGCAAAGTTATAACCTGTCGTTCAGCAAGAATCAGTTTATTATCTTCAGTCAGCTCGTTATACTTTGGATGACTTATCAAAGATAATAAAGCTTTTTCTGAGAAGTATTCAATACACTTTTTTCGAAGTTCTATTAAATCAAACTCTTGTGCAGTAATTAACAGTTCAACAGTGGGTATTTGATTTAAAAGATATTTTTCACATAAATTGAGAATTTTATTTATCTGGTATTCACGTGACAAAGTTAGCAAACTATCGATATCAGTTTTTTCTAAAAAAAAATTAATTAAACGATTAATAATAATTCAAAATTAGTAAAACAAAGTTAGTTAAGTATGCAGAAATACTCACCATAGCCCTTTCTATCGGTAACACAAAATCGTATCTCATCAACAACTGCCGTTTAATAAATATCCATAAACGTATCACATAATTTTAAAATAATGAAAATAACACAACAACGCATCACCTGATATATTTTTGTGTTAATGCATGCAATTAGTGCGTGCAATACAATGCTAGAAACACAAAAACGCATTGCGTAATACGTTGTTGCGATAAGAAGTTGTCCATAAATTACGTCCTGCTTAGGCGGGGACGGGAGGCATTTTGTGACAATTTTTTTGCGAGGGGAGGGGGTCTCGATTTTGTGACGCAACATTTATTCATTTTTTTAGAGAAGAATTTCTTTTAATCAAAAGAGTCTGACTAAACCAAAACTCTCAGTTGATGTATTTACATGTTGATTGTGAAATCAACTACGCCTAAATCTTACTTAGTCGATGTACACTCCGTTAATGGAGTAGTTACAGCCTGTTAACGGACTGTTACGGCTTTTTGTGCAGTGCACGTTCTGCGCATTGAATTTATATGGCTCAAGTGCAGAATTTTATTTAGTTGGTGCACAAAATTAAGGAGCAACATAAAAACAGTCTGGTAATCTTACCTTTAAGCGGCCTGAAACAATTTTATTTTTTCGCTTGTTGCGCTCTTGTCAGTAGAAGCTTTATAAACAATAGGAATATTAATTAAAATAATAACAGAAAAAAAGATGGCAGCCCAAATTTAGAGCTAAAATTCTGTGACTCGTTTTTTTAACGTTTTTTTTTTTAGGTAGCTTAAGGCAAACGTATTTTTGAAGAGTTTCTTTTCAGAAGCATATATAAACATAGTATATTTTTGGAAAGAAGAAGAGTTAAGCTTGATTTTCGTGTTACTTTTTAATATGGTTGTGATACCTTTTTTTTGAGTATTTTGCTCATGAAAATTATGTTGATGTTTACTTGCTAAATTATTGTCGAAGGAATCTTTATTCCGCTTTTTTGATCTTTTAAAGAAGTTTCTACATGCATTTCCTTTGCAAATATTAAAAAATATATATTATGTAGCAATTAGTTGAATCAGTTAAATACTTTTGGTACCTAATTTCTCTTTTCAAAATAAGCGGAGGTGGGGCTGGGGGGGAAGGAGAGGATTTTTTTTTTGTTTAAAAATATTTATTGCATATTATTTCCCTTAGATTATAAGTAATTTAAAAAATGAATGATATAAATGAACTAGGTTCTCAAACAGATACTAAGTTCATATGTTTTTTCATAATAATTCTATTGTTTATTACTTTTATAAGTGTATTTTTTTGTTAAACTTTAAAAACGAATTAACTAGATTAAACCTGTTCAAGACTTTTTTTTTAAGTTACACATACTTTTTGGTATTTAAGCCTTTATTTTATTTGTTATTTTTCTTTGCTGATTGCAAAATTATTTTATCGGACTTGTTGCCAAAAATGTCTATTTATTTTTTTTAAATAACATCTTTTCAACTTTAGCTTTATCGTCATTTGATGCAGTTGGTAAGTTAAATAAGTATTTTTTATTAGGTGTTTCTACTATTATTCTTTAAAGCTTTACTATAAGTTTAATACCTTTTTTAATTTTATTTAATCACACCTTCTTATTTTTCTTTTAGTTTTATCATCTGCCTGTGGAAAATATTTTCAGCTCTGGATAGAAATATTGCCAAAATCAAAGTTATTTTGGTTGATTTTTTTACTTTTAGCTTTGTCACTATCTGCTATGATTTGGGGAGTTTGAAAACTTTTTTTTAAAAAAACAACTGTGTATAGATTTGTTGGCGAAAACTATGTATTTTTTGTTCTTTACATCTTTTTTTACCTTTAGCTATATCTACATTGAGTACAGTTGGTATGTTAATCTTTTATGATTTATCTATTGTATAATACTTAGTCCTTTGATTATTGTTTTATTCAATACAAAAACACTTCTAATGTTTCCCTCTAGTTAAGATGCAGGCTTATTATTTCATCGGTTTTTGAGATTCTGTAAGTGATATATGACAGTGATGTATAGTGATATGATAGTGATGTATAGTGTATAGATATAATATTATAGTAATGTATAGGTGTATATAATGATAGTGATGTATAGGTGTATAAATATGATAGTGATGCATAGATGTACAGATACAATAGTGATGTATAGTAATATGATAGATGATAGTGACATATAGGGATGACATAAACAATATAATCTTTGATGTTATTCATAACAAAATAAACATGTTGATGCCTTAAAAGTATTTTAATACAAAAAATATCATTTGTTATTATTTAAATCATTATACAACCTTTCTTAATGTTTACTTTTGTAATTATGTTTTCATTATATACTTTATCAATAAAGTTGTTGCACATTACGCAGAACTTATTTTATTGTTGTTACTTATTCACTTATTGTTGTCAAATTTAAGGTTTTTTGTTTGTTTTGATATACAGTTTTCTTTTTAATTTTAGTCCAATCAACTTAGCTTTCCACTGGTAAGTTTGTATATTGCAATTTCGGTCATGTTTATATAAGTAGAAATTGTGGAAAAACTTGTGAAAAATTAGTTTTAATGCCAATAAATTAAAAATTAAACTTAAATTTAAATTTAAACATTTTTTAACTTGTGAAAGATTTATTGCCAATATCATTTTTTTTTTGAATAGAATCCATTTTGTTTTTACTTCCATCTATATCAGATACAGTTGGTAAGTTTAAAAGTCAATTCTTTTTCAGCAGTGTATTGATTTAATCTCATTTTGAACTTTTTTTGTTAATTTGTTTGTTGTTTGTTGCATCTTTTTGTGATATTAGTATTATGATATTAGTTTGTTGCATCTTTTTGTGATATTTGTGATATACATAGATTAAGAAGTAGTAATTTTTAAACATACTAACTGTGGAGGATGTATACATCCTCCACAGTTAGTAAGTTTAAAAATTATTTTTTCTTAATCTATGTATAGGTGGCAAAATCTAAATCATTTTATTAATTAATTAATTGTTGTTGTTTTTTCTGTTTATCACACCTTTTTTTAAATAAGCTTCATTGACACCTGCTGCGGATGTTCATGTCATTTCTTTCGTTATGGCTATTCTTTAGATTTTGTATCAAACTTAACTTTCTTCTTATTGATTATAATTTTTTTTTTTAATTTTAGTTTCATCAACATCTGCCACAGTCGGAAAGTTTAATAGCTATTTCTTTGTTCACTGTGTATATCTAATGCCAATATCTAATACTTTTTTTCTTATATCTATATCTAATGCCAATTTCTGTGTTCACTGTGTAGATCTAATGCCAATATCTAATACTTTTTTTCTTGGTTGCACTTTTTTTTAATCTATATCTGCCACAGTTGCTAAGTTTAAAAGCTGTTACTTTATAACTTCTGTATTAATTTAATGCCTAAATCAAACATTTTTTTAGTTGATTAAATCCTTTTTTGGCTTTAATTACATCTACATCTGTCACAAATAGTAAGTTTAAAAACTAACTAATAGTAAGTTTAAAAACTAACTATTTTCAGCAGTGTTTTGATTTTCCCAAAAAAAGTCATTTATTTTGTTAAATACATTTTTTTTTTGATTTTTAGTTGCATCTACATCTGCTATGGTTGGTAAGTTAAAAAACTTTTTTTTTTTTTTGCAGTGCATATCTATCTCATTAAAATTATACTATAAATTTAATCCCGATTTCATTTTATTTTTGTTGTTTACATCTTTTTTTAACTTTTAGTTCCTGCAGCACTATCTTCTCCAGACTAATGTATAAATTGAAATAATTCTTTATGATTGTTCTTCGTTTGTTGAAAAACGTTAATGCTTATTTATATATTATAAAAATATTTTATTTTAAATTAACAAATTCTTAATAGAAATTTTTAATTTTTTTATGTAAAGGTTTACATAAAATGTTTTTTAATGCTTTCAATTCTTAACTATTAGTGAAATGATGAATTTATACAAACATTTATCTGCAAAACAACTTGAAGATTTAGATGATGCTGTGTCGGAAAGAATTGTTGGCAGAAAACTCTGTCAGAAATAGTATGATACTGACTCATCAAAGTCTATCATTTATGATGGTGGACTAGCAAAAGTAAACAAGAGACAAAATGATATAATTTACACTATTTCTTATTGGTATCAAGATGAAACTGATATTGAAGCTGTCGAGCATAAGATCAAAAAAATCCAGTTAGGTGCCGATGTTGTATTAGATGATGAAATAATGTAAAAATGCTTGAAAAAAAAGTTCTGCATGTTTTGTGGCTTGCAAACAAGTATAGCAAGTTTTATGGCTTCCCATTAGGTAAAGCAAGTTTTGTGGCTTGCAAATGTGTACCACAAGTTTTTGTGGTTTGCAATTAGGTACAGCAAGTTTTAAGGCTTGCAAATTTTTTTGATAGACAGCTCTGGCTTACCTTCACGTGCTGTCTATCATTTAAAATGATTTATTTTAGTTTCAAAACATAAATCATTTACTAAAAACAATAAAGACAATATTTAATCACTTTTTTTTATTTCAAAAGACTTGCTGTTGTGTGTACTTTTTTTTAGGTCGGAGTGGGTTGTATCAGAGTATCCACATAATGGATACTCTGATACAACATGTAACGTGGTAAAATAGATTTTTACTATTCTATATGCTTAAAAAAACATTTTTAAACTTTTCTTGTTAAATTCTCATTAAATTTATTTTTTAGGTACAGGGCGGAAGGGGCGGCTTACGCCCTATTCCATGAAGGCAATTTATACACCACTGTAACGTGATAAATTAGTTTTATATACCATTTTATATGTTGAAAAAAGCATTTTGAAACATTTTTTGTTAAACTCTCTTTAAAAATTTTTTTTATGTATTGGGCGGAAAAGGGCGGCATACGCCCCGCTCGATGAAGGCAATTTATTCACTACTAGTAAATAT